CCAAAACCCAAACCAAGAAAAGAATCCTAACCCATTACCTAATCCAAATTCCCAATATCAAACCTGAACCTAGACCCTAACCTCAAATAACAAGACCTTGACCCAAACTCAACACCTAAAACCCCCAAACCATAATTAAAAGCATACCCATGATCTGCCAAATGCCAACATGCAGATCCAGGCCCAAAATCCAGTCTAAAAAACAAGAGTAAAACACCACTTCCAATGAGACGTGGTATGCCTTGTCAAGGAAGTGTTGCTTTGCTTTGGAAAAGATAGTTTTGTTTAAATAAGACACTGTACAGAGAATAAGACACTGCACCGAGTTTAAGACGTCAAAAAATTCTGGGTATTTGGGATATTCTGTAATGTAATTATGCAAATATAGTTATCCAATTATTTATACACGCATTGAGGCTGAAACTGAAATACAGACCCATAGGCAGATTCATGTGTTAAACTCGGCCATTTAGTACGGGATGTGTGGTGACTGAGTTGGACCTATGACCTTAACCTTAGTTTGTTGGGGGACGGTTTGCCTAAGTTTCGTTAGAGAAGTCTCATAGTATTACGAAACTAAACACTATAAGCAAAAGTCAAAATGAAATCCCAAGTGTAGCAGTAAACCCTACGCCAAAAACAGTGTCAAGGATTAAAGTTCAACGCGGCAACCACAATTGACCAGATCTCTAAACCAGATTTAAAATCATGACAAAGATTAAACCTTTAACCACCAGAATTTGTTACTCTTTTTTTGCCTACTTCAATATGTATTATTATTTCTCTCAACAGCTAAAAGTTTTATGTAGCTAAGTGTTCTATATTGAATGAATATGTGATTGTAAAACTCAACGAATCCATGACCTTTTGTATGTGAATATTTATTCATCGAACAGTGTGCTATATCTAATCAAAAAACCAAAATGAGAACTGATAAGCAAAACATGCGTCCTAACCATGAGAATTGATTTTATCATTCCATAAAATAAAAATAGCATTTGTCATTAATCAAAAATCCAACAAAGCAAACAAAACAATCCAAGTAATCCAAATACAAACAATATTAAAAATGCAGAAAAAACTTAAATATTAGAATTTGATAAATAGAATAAAGAATATGAATTAGGATTTTTGACATACCTCAAGAAATAATACTAACCTTATTAATGATGTAGGAAATTAGAGCAAATGAAATTGAACCTGGAAATTTAAACATGGGGATTATTCACTTGTGAATTGAAAACAATCTGGATACTTGCAAATAAGCATAACAATTGGACGAGAAAACTCATCCAAAAACAAAGTCTGTAAATTCGAAAAAAGCATGAAACAATTCTCTAACCTGGAACCAAAGAACACGTCTGTGATTCATTCCATCTCCGAGATTATTATTATTATTATTAATTAGGAGTATATTATGGAATTTACAACGCAGGAATCATCCAAACGGCCAAAAATATATTTGTTGGAGTTCCCACATCGGAAAATAAAGATGAGTATCACTAGCATATATAGAACGGTGAAGCCCTACCTATCAGCTTAAGCTTTTGGGTTAGAATTGTGGATCTCGACTTTATATGCAAGTGGTTAATTTTACCCGACACTCTATCCGTTGTTCTCGGCCCACCGGAATTTTAACATGGTATCAGAGCAGGTCCGGTCCGGGTTCGATTGTTCCTGGTTGTTTGGATGTGGGTTTAGCAAAAATGAGCTACCCCGTCTGTGGTTTGGGCTGAGTTGGCTAAAAAAGAGATTGAGATGCCACCGCCCATTGTGTGGGCTAGCTATAAGAGATTGAGATGCTAGACCCGTTTGTCCAAGTGCTAACTAGGCCAGGCTAGTTACCACTTGCGGGGGAGTGTTGGAGTTCCCACATCGGAAAATAAAGATGAGTATCACTAGCATATATAGAACGGTGAAGCCCTACCTATCAGCTTAAGCTTTTGGGTTAGAATTGTGGATCTCGACTTTATATGCAAGTGGTTAATTTTACCCGACACTCTATCCAATGTTCTCGGCCCACCGGAATTTTAACAATATTAAAGTAATGCAAATCAATTACCTGATTTTTTTTGGGGAAGCTGCAAATCAAATAAAATCTGTAGCAATGCATCGTGAATCCCTCAAATTCCACAATTAAATTGCAACGCCAATTCTAGCATTTACTCCAGCAGGTGAAGCCGAGGAATAAAGCATTGAATATGCTGTCATTTATGCCCAAAAACCTTTTTTTACTTGAAAACAACATTT